TTCATTTCCAGTGCACTTCTGATTAGTATCGGTGTAGTGTGGAAGAAACCTACGTAAGGCGAGCGAGATACTTCCATTTCGCCTGCCATGACCCAAGGGAACGGTCCTGGACCAGGAGAAAGGACACCTCCGCAAAGGGCTAAGGGTGCAGGAGCTCCAGGGTGGATCACCTGTGCAGAAAAGTGGATGGGATGTGGGCAGGTAGTGTGGAATGTAGGACATCCACCGGTCCTTATCAAAAGTACGCTTAAAATGAGCTTATTATCCTGGATATCCCAACGGAATGCTCTCTAGTACTACAGATAAAGACATCAAGGAGTGCCCCCCTCCTCCTTGAACTCCTCCGCCACAGTGATCAGCGCTTTCAGAGATTTATATTCTGGAGAACAAAATGTTTCTCTCCTTTGTGGACCAATGTGGAGCCAAAATCGTTCAAGATAGCTTGTCTCAGGGTTTTGACTGTCAGGGTTCTGACTGAACTTCTTCGAAGGGAAGACTTAATGCTTAGCTTAGTTTTATTTTTACTTTCATAGTAAACAAATAAACAACAAACTAGTATTTCGTAAGTAACTTTCAACATCATCCTTGGGTGACGTTTATAATCCCCCTTCACGCTGGAATTACACGGAAAGGAATGACAAAACTGATAAGATAAGAGCGGGTTCTGCGATTTTTTTTCTCAAAATTTGCCACCAGAACATTTTTATGATACTGTTTTTCCAGCAAGGATGCCCTGAATAAGAAAATCCTGTGGTAAACATCACCTTGTGAACTCCCGTATTCCTTCCCGAAACGTACTCATCGCTACTCCCTCACCTTCGCGTAGTCCAACTCCACTTTTCAGCTACGTAGTCTAGGAATCATGCGACTTATCTGCTCTTTTCCGATGTGTTAATCTCCGATTCCAAAAGACCCGCTCTCTTTATAAAGCGTTTTCTGCTGTGATGAGAGCTGCATGGGAACTTCCTGTACATGTCCTTCCACCCTTGTCAACATCTCCACATGTCGGCCCGCGTCAAAGTGCATGGCGTAGTAATAGGAGGGAAATTGTGGCACAATGAGCATATCTCCATTTCCTAGCTCATCATGGTATTAAAATAACAATAACTACTAGTATTGGTAGTTAATTATTATCAGTAAATATTGATAACTATATTATTTATTAGAACGTTATTGAGGTCCCAGGACGAATTCTCTCCTCGCTTTTCTTCCCGAACTCGAACGTTTCCGCCTTCGAATTGCATTCGTTTGATCTTCGTCCCCGTCCCAGTGATTTGGATCTCGTCGTCGTTGAGTTTGCCTATGCCAGCTCATGCTTCGTTTCCGAGCATAATCACTTCCTCTTTGCTCAAGCTGTAGTGTTGAAATATGTAGAAGAAATCTTTTTGGGCACTCCAGCATTCAAATCGCGGGGGGGGGGCATTTTGTCCCCCTACAGCTGTGGGGATTACTGTAGACGGCAAGAACTGTTGCATTGCACCCCCCCCCCCCCATATTATATGTATAAGCGCCGCTTTTTGTTTTGTTTCGCTTACTGAAATATACTTATTCTCAGAAGAGCAAGCAAAAATACTCCAATTAAAAAGAAAACGATGAAAAAATTAGTTCATAAAGGCAAAAAGCGTAGAACAAATAATCGAAACCCACCTCTCCGATTAGTAATGGAATTCGAGCTCCATTGTACTACTGTGTACCTTAAAAATGGCATTTGCTACCCATTTAAGTGATAAGCTCTAATATTTAACGGAAGGGAGAAGGTAGAGGGGCAAGCTGGAGTTAACTCGATGATGTTGGGTTGATGTTAAACTTTGCAAATCTAGCGATTGGCTAGCGTCCGGGGCAGGGTCAACCCTATCGTTGTTACTTTTGAAAATTTTTTACGACCCCCCTCCCCAAGGTGGATTTGATACGACCCCCTTTTCCACACCTCGACCACCATCATCGTCTCTATAGTACTTACCACTCAACCCACCAAACTCCGCCCACTTTTTCCTCCAAAAATGCCGTCGAGCGGGGGGTATATAGCTACTCTGAAACAGTAAAAATTCCCTAAATTCCCTATCCTCTCCTTTTCTTCTACCACGTTTTACCTACTTTTACCCAGTTTTACCTATCTTCCCACTGCTTTATTTTCTAGGGCCACTAAGGCAAATTTTTTTCCTGCGCGCCCTCAACTCACCCAGCCTACTACCCACGAAATCTTAGTTTCACCTCAAACCCACACGTGATTTCGAGCGACTAAAGTGGGTACGACCCCCCCTCCTACAAACTCAACCAGGTACGACCCCCCCGTTGTTACTAGTAACAACGTAGGGTTGACCCTGGTCGGGGTAACGTGTCGCGGCCAGTGAATCACTCAATTGGCTGGTACCGCAACGCGACCGCAGACGCTAGCGAATCGCGCGATTCGCAAAGTCTGACATCGGCTCTACGGGGCAGTTGTCAATCAACGCGTGAGAGTGCCAGACAGAAAAGCTGGGCTTTCTAGGACTAAGCCTTTGAAGAGAGGAAAAAAGCAGAGATGCTGTAATAGTGTGCATTTGCGAGAGTGCCCAGAGAACACTACAAAACGCTGAACCATTGAGTCTCCCGGTTGACAACTGCCCCTGAATGTGATCTTGTACAAGTTCTGAAGAACATAGTTCATTTCGACGATGGCACTGGAATGATGGGACCATTGGAACAAGCCGCTTATTGCTGAAGTGCTCCAAACTCCAATGACATCTCTTCTTGTACACAGTGTCTGCGTATGCCCCAAATTTCCTCGACCATCCAAGTCCAAGCGCAAATAGATTGCAGGTGATAGAGTCTGCGTGTGTCCGCAATCCTGCCACTCCCACTTCCTCTCTTGTGATTTCAACCTCTGTTATTTTATCTGGTGATTCGCCAACGTTTCTCGCTACTTTTGAAAACATTATTGAGGACGTACCCTCCCCTTCAAAAAGCCAGTGTGACGACGGCAGACTCCAAAAGTAAATCTGGTTAGTAGTGGTTCATAGTGATAGCTGATTTTTGGTAAATGATAGTTGTAATTAGTGACAACTGATAGAATACAACTGCAACAGGCTAATCATTTCATTGGCAGAAAACATTTGCATTTTGTGGAGGCCGTCGTCACTTGTGGTGTATGGTCTGCACCCGACACTTTCTGGCTTTTTGAAGGGAGGTTACATCACTCCTTTTTCGGCGATAGCGCAATTTACAAGTATCTTTTAGAGTTTTGCATCTCGCAACTACTGATTAGTTCAGTACGATGGTCTCCTACAAACAGGTGAGTTAGTCTTATCACTGATTACAATTACTGTTGTGGATGGACCTGTAGTATGAACCAAAAGAACACTTGCGCGCGACAAATTGCCGCAAATGGTCCAGGCTATCGAAGTAAAGGAGTCTTGAGCGTCTCCAATAGCGTTCAATGCTACGAGCAGCCTGTGAGCAGAGTCAGCCGTGCGTTCTCAACGAGAGGGGTCACATCTGGGGTTTCTTCAGAGGGCGGTGGGGGAGGTCATATTGGGAATTGGTAAACGTCAAAATATTGGAAAAGGAAGGTCATATTTTTGGAAGTTGTATGGATTAAAAATAGTTGCGTAAAAGGGGGCAGTGTTTGACAGGTTTTTTGATAATTTTGGTGAAAATTCGAAGAAGTAAGCGTGAGGTTGCCGAAAGAAGGATTTGTCATTCCATCAGATATGTTCATCCCTCTCCCCCTTTTCGACGGCCTTTTTGGAGGAAAAAATGGGAGCAGTTATCGTGTTGAGGAAATCCCCAGATTGATGGTGGTGGTGAGGGATTGAGGGGTCGTATCGAGAGCTCCTCCCCTAGAGCAGGCGTCGTAAAAATTTTGGCAGTTGGAACAACGGACCGTTGATCCAGTCTGTGAGTCTTCGAGGTCCATTGGTCGGCTAGCCTGAGCCTCGGAACGGTTATCAACCTCTTTGGGACGCTCACAGACTACTTTGAAACATCGGCTGGTTCTCTGGGAGACTCACACGTTATCGCGCTAGTCATAGCAAGCTATAATAGCTTCATCTTACACCGTCTCACACAGAAAAGAGTGCGAAGTATGCTCGCCTGCCTCGCAAGCTTTTTTCACTCGATTTCCAACGAGGACAAAGGCTGTTGGCTTTCTAAGAGGCAGAGTCGTGATTAGATCCTAGGAGAAATTCTCTTCGTGAGCGAGGTAATAGGGTTTCCAGATCCAGGAGCCGTGGCGCTATTGCGAAACGAGTGCGTTGTCATACCTCTATCGGTTGGATTGCTGCCATTTTCACTTCTTCGCAGCATACGCGGTGTCTGCGCTCTCTCATAAAACGCACTCTCTTGCGTGTTCCCTCTTCCTCGCCTCGCTGTGCCTCTCCATCGTGTCGCGCTCAACCCCCCCCCCCCCGAGTCTTAACCGACGGCCCTTTTCACGTCTCTTATTTCATTTTGAGCGGGATGAAACACCGAATTCATGGTGACCCGGCTCTACAAGGCGGCACAGACATTCTTTAGGACATCGCGCCTTAGGCAACTAAAGGGGTAGATTAAGGGCCACCGAGTGACTACTTCTGTTAAAAACTGTTTGGATTCGAAGCCTTCTAAAAGCAAGAACTTAGATTCTCTTTCAGCTGGTCGAAAACCAAAGGGCACACTTCAAAACGGGTGCCACCAGAAGTGTAGAAGCGCGCCGTAAAGCGCTACTGAAGCTGAAGGAAATGGTGGAGAAAAACAGCGAAGAAATCGGAGCAGCAATCCAAAAGGATCTTGGAAGGGTGAGCAGTCGCCATTCATTTCACCACGGTACCCATCTTCCAATGCCCCGTTTCAGGATCCAGTCCAAGAAATCGCTAACGCTATACGTCACGTGCAGGAGCTTGATCAGCCATGTGGAGGAATGGAGTGCTCCAAAAATCGTGGCTAAGCCACAAATGTTCAACAATGACAGCGATGAAGTGATGTTGATGACGGAACCGTTGGGAGTTGCGTTGGTCATTTCACCATGGAACTTCCCACTCGTAGACGTCAATGCCAGTCGCGCTGGCTATTGCTGGAGGTGATCAATAAGGATCAATATTGACCATTATTCTCGAAAAATATTTCTTCATAGTACAGCGCACAGCTTTATTGTAGGAAATACCGTGATCTTGAAACTAT